CAGTTTGCTTCTATTACTGGAATACTAAGGGGACGGAAAATATTTAGTCACTCAAAAAAAACAAAAAAAACATGGAGGGTAAAACAAATTAAAAGAAAAATACATCAAACTCAACTCTCAAGGCAGGTTTTCCTCCTGAGGCAGGATATCATTACAACATGTACAGAATTCCGGTACTGGAACTGGGCCTGTTCACATGTGATAAATTTGATGAAAGCACCAAACAAAGACTGAGTTTGCCATTCCAAGCATGTTTACAGGCAATGTCAGATTTCCAAGAAGAAACCCTGGGGGCTTTCTCTTTGCTGATGGATCTCCTCACCCCCCACTCTTCTCATCCTTCTTGACTGACCTCTGGGGAAGGTTCAGATTTAGGGACTAAATTCCAGCTTGGCCTCTCAGGACTGTCTACCTCCCTTTGCTTTTATTTTGCTCTGCTTTACTGCTTGCAGTTAAACTCTAACTAGCAGACTGTCAGACCAAAATGGCATTAACATAAGACAGTCAGATTGATGGTGTAACAGCTCCAGCCTACACCTTTACAGAAACCTAATGAAAGAACATAATGGAGAATCTTGATAGGCCCTGCAAATTGACTGCATGTATGCTGACAAAGCTTTACTCTGCTTTTGATTGACGCTTCATCATTAGTCTTTCACATGCAGAAGTATAAATCTTAACGGACTCAATAGGCTATAGTCAGGTCCGAGAAATAGCTTTCTCTGCTTGATCCACAGACAGAGGTCAATTTTTCCCTCATGACTAAATCCCTCCTGCATGTGACCGATGTATACTGTTCTGTAGCAAGACATGCTGGCTCCCTGGACTAGGAGTCATTTGTTTTATTTAAATAATTCCTATGATTTCTCTAACCAACCCAAGAGCTGGGCACATGTATGGGAGGGTTTTTCCATGTTCTCAGTTGTCCAGGTATTTGTAATAAAATCCTGGTTTCTGTTTTGAAAACCCTGGGAGTTCCAGTCATTTTCACATTTGAGGTTTTCCTCCCTGCTCCCCTTTCCCTCTCAGCCATTTGCGCTACCATCTACAGAACAGTCCACCCAAGGTTACCTACAGTTTAATTTGCAGACCATTTGGAAGGTAAAACAAACACATTTCAAACGGTAGGGAACACCCTGCGTTTCAACTAAAAAAACTAAAAAAAAACTAAACTAAAAAAAGTTATGTAGGCAACTTAAACAAAGGCATTTATTTTCCAACTCCCTTTTCCCCTGGAAGAAAATGTGCAGACATTTATTAATGATGAGCTTTAGGAAAAGTATACCAAACTATTATGTTGTTCGTACCCAAAGTGAGGTAGGCAAAGAAGCAAAAGTTCCACACCAGAAACATAGCCTGACCACTCCAGAAAAATAAATAACTAACCATTCCCTGTGGAGACAGTCAAGCTTTACCACAACAAAAAGATGCAGTATTATGAATCATCTCGTGCGAAATTCATTATAGTGAGAAGAATAACAAACTGGGAGAAGCTATGATGTAACTAACTAAACTATAAAAAGGTCAAAAACTGATGGGCTAAATATAACTGAAATGGAACGTTGACAACTTCTGACTCAACTGTACTCAGAAATCAGTACTTTAGCAAAAAATGTTATACCAATTGTTTTGTCTTTGCAAGATTGCTTTGTTGAATCTGTTTTTTTTTTGTTTGTTTGTTTGTTTTCAGCGTTTTATCATCATTACCTTGTAACAAGTACAGAAGAACAAAATCAACTCTCTTTAACCCTTCCGCTTGGGGAGCAGTGGGTTCCATTGTGCGGCGCCCGGGGAGCAACATGGAGGTTAAGGATCTTGCTCAGCAAGCCAGAGTGGTAGTCTGAGGGAGTGGGGCTTGAACTAAGAACCTCAGGATTCCAGCAGCAATGGCCTAACCACAAGTCCCCAAAGCAGGGATTAGTGTGAAGGTTCTCCACCACACTGGCAGCTCATCCCCCGAGCTGGCATGCGAACCTAGGCTTCCTGTTCGCAGGACGGGTGACTTACCACTTGAACTAGCCAGTCACTAAAAGCGGCTGTTTAGTTACATCATAGCTTCTCCCAGTTTGTTATTCTTCTAACTATAATGAATTTCACACGAGATGATTCATAATACTGCATCTTTTTGTTGTGGTAAAGCTCGACTATCTCCGCAGGGAATCCACCATCTGCAAAGCAAATGTCTCATAACTTAGGGCATTTTTGTCTTTTTCTTTGATTTTCTCCTCGATATCTTTTGTCCTTATGAATAACAATGTACAAGTGTAAGCAAGTGACATGTGGTAACCACTGCACAGAGATCAGGCACATAGATCAAAGTATCAAGTGAAAATTTGGACCTTTTTATTGTGGGATTTAAGATATGGGATTAATAATGATGAAGAATGAAATCTTATTGTCTCCACAACCTAAAGAAATGATTAAACATAGATACTAAGTTTTGGAAAACATGACACTACAATGTTATTGGTATTTATCGGTTTTCTGCCAATCAAATCAAGATGTTAGAGGATGCCCATGAATATACTGTGATCTCAAATCTGCTTTCTTACAATATGTGGAATTTTTTTAATTTAAGCACGTGGTTTCTGCATCTTCACCATACCTTTCGGCCCAACTGTGTCTTAAATCAGTTGGAATTATACACATAAAATCTATCTTAGATACGATTCCAGCCCCTGGAACCCAAAAACGACAGCTATAAACAAAAAAGCTAAAACAAAAGAAAAACAAAAATCAGATTTGGCCATCTTAACTCAAATCATAAACCACAGTCTGATCCTCATTTGCTGATAAATATTATTTTTATTTATTTAAGACACGTAAAAAATGTAATGAATTAACCATGAACATACGTAAATTCTCTAGACCTTTACAAATATCTAGTCTTTTATCTGGTAAAGCATCTTCTCATCTTTAAAATGTCAGTCTGTGATCTTTGGCACGCCAACAAGAACCAGTGCAGGCTGTTCCTCAGTGACTCCCGCTCCACATGTGTCACTACACAAAGTAAATTAACAGCTGTAACTGCTCTCAAACACCTGCAATAACAATCCAGGGTGTAGCAGGTTACCAAGCGGTTCCTCTCTCTCTTTCTTGTAATCTGATCCAGCCTCTCCTCTAAATTCTCCGAGCCTCAGAGGAGGCCTGGAAAAGACAGAGGGAGAAGCTTCTCTCTTAGACTGGATAAAGCCGTAACTAAAGATGAAGGACAGATGACTGGTGCAGCCAACTCGTTTTTCTTTTTAAAGTTAATTTCAAGAGCTGAAAGTCCTCGAGTATGTCTGCAGGGAGCCAAGGAACAAAAGCCATTTTTTAAAGTGTAATTTAATGGTTTAAAAAAAGAGAATGGCTTATTCTCCAGTTATCAAAAAGTTTCTACACCAATCAAGCCAACGAAAGCAAAATGCTGAGTTTTTTCCCACATGCTACGTTGAGACCAGACTCAACCTTAACTAATTTGCTAAAGCAAGCGTATAACTTTCCTTTCAGTGATGTCACCGCTAATCTGTGCCACTTACAAAGAAAAACAAGGAAGCCTAATCACCATTAAAAAGCTACCCAGACATACATTAGGCTGAATGCCAGAGGGTCGTATAGCTGTGAGAGGTTTAGGCATATCAGATGTTTTAGAGTTACATTAAATACCTCAAAGAGAAATTACCTCCGTGACGCAGTTTGGAAAGTTTAGAAAATCGGGAAAACATGTAGCAACAATTCTGAAAGGATATGATTGATATACACAGCACACAGGGGTTTGCAACTTCTCCCACAACATGATTCACCTTTTGTTTTCACGTGGCTGAATTAACTCTGTGCAGCTTTTTTTGTCAAGTGTTGACATTAGTTTGTCACCTGCCACCTGTTTTTTGGCTTGCTCCTTAATCCTCCAATTGATGCCAGAACCTGTTCAGAAACCACAGCTAGTATTGTATGTGTACGTTCAGCCTGTTCCTGGATAAGGGGGTGTGCTACTTGGAAACACAATGCAGTAATTATTCTCAAAAAGCATCACAGAGCAACTGTAGAGCTGGCAAATGCATAAATGTCTCACTGAGTCTTGAATGGAAAAAAACAATTTAGACAACATTGTTTAAAATAGTCAGCACACACTGAACTCCAGACTTGTTTCAGAAAAGTATTCAAATATCCTGTATCCTGGATCGCCAATGGAACCTAATGAAATTAAAAGATTTTCCTATCTGTAAATCTGAAAGAATAGGGAAACAATGATACTAGTACTTGTATGTGAAAGACAAGCCAGTGCTCTGGACCGATACCACTTTTATGTTTGATAAAAAAAATCATGGTATCAAGACAGTGAAGTGGAGCTGCAGCTGTCAAGAGTTGCTTTTCTGATGAAGGGCCTCAACTTCTTCCCGAAAAAGCTCCCTCTACTGCATCTCACTTGTGGTGGATCCAAGATAAAAAATAAATAAAAAAAAATAAAAAAAACTATGTATCCTTAAAATCTTAGAGATTATGATCAAAACTCAAAAAGAAAATTATGGCTAAGTTTATATATAGTATTCATATTTTTACTAGCATTGGGCAATGATAAATAACTTTATACCAACTCAGTTTAAAGAAATATGGTCTCCGTGCATCTGTAATAAAAGTACTATACTGAACATGCAGAGTAAATATAGACCAACTACTTTTTTAAAAAGCTTTGAATATTTAGACAGAATAATTTTGACCAGTTTCTTTGCAAAACAGCAGAAGCTATTTGAACAACCCTTTTGAGGTCAAAGATTCTCAATTGGATTTTAGTCTAGAAACAGACAGGTATCCTTTTTCTCAAACTCTTCCAAATTAGGTGGTGTTTTCTGTTAAATACAGTATACTCACAGCATGAATACTTTTGCAAGGCACTGTATTCTGTCTTAGTGAAGAAATGTTTAAACAGATAAACTACTATATATTCTGTATGTTATTTATGATCTTATGCTATACTGGAAGATACATGTACTGCAATAAAAATCTGAAGGGATACTCACTTGTTTCACTCTATCATTTCACTGTCTTCAGGGAGAAAAATAACCTTGAATATTTGCCAACTGTGTCCCAGTTTTGTCTCTAAATGCCCTCAGTCGTACCTAAAAAAAAAAAAAAAA